TTAGGAGAGACCAGTCCCTGGAAAGGACATCATGCTTGGTAAAGTGGAGAGGCGGTGAAAAAGATGACGACCCTGGACAAGATGGACTGCCGTAGTGGCGGCAACAGTGGGCTCAAACATGACAAGAATTTGGGGTACGGCACAGGATGGGCCGGTGTTGGGTTCTGCTGCCCATCGGGGCGCTATGAGTCGGAATGAAGTCGAGAGCACCTGCCCAGAGCAGGAGGATGCAACAGTGCTGCTATTCATGAGGGAAATGCACACCCAGTAGGCGGGCCGTCAGCGAAGACTGACAGTCACACAGCCGGGCGTGAAGCCACTGGGACGCTCATGTGCTGCTTTGGGAAGAGTTTGGTTGGCAGGTCATCAGAACGTTAAACACGGGAGCTGCTAGATGACTCACTCCACTCCTAGGCATCTACCCAAGAGAGATGAAAACCTACATCTATAAAAACTCATCCATGAAGGCTCACAGTACTCATATAGCCAAAAAACAAACAGCTCAGCCATCCCGATGTATGGATTAAATCCTGGTAGGACCATGCAATGGAAAATTATTCAACCGTAAAATGGAATGAAGTGCTGACACAATGAACCTTGGAAATATGTTAAAGGAGGCAGACACTCAAGGTCACATTGTGTGATTCCAGATGCACGTTGTCCCAAAGAGGCACATCTAGAGACAGACAACAGCTGAGTGGTTGCCAAGGCCAGGGACACTGGGGAAAGAGGGAGAGATGCTGAACAGGTGCAAGCTTTCTGAGTCCAACGGCGATGAGACAGTTTTAAAGTTGATGGTGGTGATAGCTGCGCAACTCTCTGAAGAGACCGGAAGCCACCGAACCACAACACTTCAAATGGGAACCGTGTGGGATGTCTTATCTCCAGAAAGCTGTTTTTGGAGAAAGAAAGAGTGGAAGGAAAAATACACGTGGCTTGAGCCTCTGGTGAATCCCCTCTAAGCACACGCCAAGGATGTCAACAGCCTTGCTATCATGCAGAGTACATTGGAAAGTACATTTTGGCAGATGGGGTCAGGTTAAAATTTAACACCTATCATTTGATCTCTCCCTTTTGACCCATTTTAAAGTTGTTCTAGATTTCAATATTTTTTTTCTTCTGAGGTTTTTCTCTATTTTGTTATTGTTAAGGTTTTGTTGTTGTTTTAGGGGGGAGTTGGTATGTTTTTCTGTATATAAAATCCAAGATAGGTAAATCTATAGTGGCAGTAGCTGGATTAATGCTTTCTTGAGGGAACGCTGCAGGAGGTTGGGAAGAAATGGGGAGCTATTAACAAGGAGTACAAGAAAGAAGCAAATGAGGGGAAAGAGGGGGAACCGATCACAATGATGTATGTATAACCCCCTCCCAGGGGGACAGACAACAGAAAAGTGGGTGAGGGGAGACATCAGTGTAGGACATGAAAAAAAAAATTTATAAATTATCAAGGGTTCATGAGGGAGGGAGGGGGCAGAAATGAGCTGATACCAAGGGCTCAAATAGAAAGAAAATGTTTTGAAAATGATATGGCAACATATGTACAAATGTGCTTGACACAATGGATGGATGCATGGATTGAGGTAAGAGCCGTCCGAGTCCCCAGTAAAATGATTTTTTTTAAAAAGCAAATGTTCTAAAAGTGTGATGGTTGTACAATTCTTCTTGATATGATTAAACTACTGAATTGTATGATACATGGATTATGTGCCAACAAAAGTGTCTGAAAAGAAACAAGTGATAGAAATTAAATAAATAGATAAGTAAACAAGCATCCACTGTCTCACAAACCTGTGGGTCTACAATTTAGAAGTAGTTCAGCGGGGTTTCAGGTCAGGCTCTCTCACGAGGTGGTCAGGCTGCCAGTCAGGGCTTCGGTGTTCCCTTCCAAGATGACTCGGGAACTGGTGCTGGCGATTGGTGACACTCCCGCCCACGTGGGCCTCTCCACAGGGTTCCTCAGGGCCCTCGTGCCACAGCAGTTGGCTTCCTCCAGAGCAAGTGACCCAAAGTCTCACGAGTCACCCACTTTCGTCCCAGTGCAGGCAGCTGGGCCCAGGACACACACTAGCTCCTTCCCTAAGTCTGTCTCTAAGTCGAATTTGTACAAGAAGTTGGAACAGTGCAGG